GAGTTAGAGGAGTAATATGGGGAGGGTTCTCATGCTTGAAGGACCCAATGCTTGACAAATTTCAACCAATCAAAATCGCTAAGCGTTTCTATTGGCTAAATGCCTTTCTCACAAAATCGAAGCCAATATTAACAGAAAATGTATTAAATCAGTGGAAAATAATCAAAAATTTTACAAATTGCGGGTTACAACCGCATTACTATTCAGATAATCATCAAAATTAATGAGCTCAAAATCATACGAATTTTTCAGTCTTGAAAACTCATCTGCTTATTATAAAATCGGTCAATATTAACACTAATGGCCTGGATTTATTTTCTTACTTCGAGATTTTCGCGATTTATTTCGAGATTTTGAATACTCAATTCTGATTGGCTGAAAATAAGCTAAAATTACTTTCAAGCATTCGGTCCTTGAAGCATGATGTAATATGTTACCTCTGCGGGTGATAAACTGTTCAAAAAGACCGTCGAATTTTTTTTTCTAATGCTTTAACTCAAGGCTCAATGCTTAAACGGAGAGTAGCAAGCTCTGATTAAGTCTTTTTACAAAAAAAAACCCAAAAATTTTAATGTTGGCTCTTAAAACAATATTTTACACTAGTAGATTCAAACCGTTCTCAGACAGAGGCATCATGTCGAGTAAGCTCAGCCAAATTATGCCGTAAAAATCAGTAATTGTCCCGGCCATTTGAAAAATGGGGAGGAACTTTGTATTTGGGTGTGTTTTGGTTTTTTGTTCCGATTTTCGTAACGAAAGTAACGGAATATTTGTGATCGGGTTGGGTTTTTTTTCTTCAGTCAAATTTCGACTTTTTAACCAGCCTTTTTTGACGAAATTTTTTCTATATCATTCGAAAACTATTGTTGTGCTGACCTTAAATTTGAAAAATTATTTTACTTGTGATCATTTTTCGTAAAGTTATGGGGGTTTAAAGATTGCCATTTTCGCCAATTTGGGACAATTACCGCGCGATGTATTTCGCGCTATTAACGCGTCAGCGAGATTTAATCCGTCTTATAAATCGTTCCAAATTGGTTCAAGGAAGCTTATATGTCATATTTGATTAGTTAGTAGGAGCAAAATCTATCACTTTGTACTTATTATGACGTGTTGGGGATTTTCTCACAAAAAATCTATTTTTCTAAAATATTTTAATTTTATTTCATTACATTTAAATTTTTCATGTTATTACTGCTCCATAGAATCTACACATTTTAAGTGTGACTGAACCCCCTTTGGTACGTTTTAAGAAATCTATTTTTGGCCGACCGACCCTAAAGTGTTTCTGAAGGCGCCTTCGGCGCCAATATATACTAGTTTTGAGGGGGTAGCGCGCGCCGAAAAACGCAATTTTTTGGTCAAAATTTTCCATAAAACCCTATAAACGCCTTTTTTGGACTGTTTTTTCAAAATTGTGCCTGCGGCCCAGAAAATTTGGCCTAAACAGGGACTAAACCATGCATAGGGAGAGCTCAAAACATCAGTTCGGTTGACCCAAAAAAAATGGTCGACAAAAATTTTCGAACATTTTTTGATAATCCGCCCCCCTCGAGAAAATCCTAGATCTGCCCCTGCTTGGATCACTAGTTCCTTGGGTCACCAGGGAAAACTGAATAGGGTCCGCTATTCTCTATTCAAGATTGAGGTTTACCAAATCGCGTCATTTTCTCTCTTCAAAAAAACTCCTCCTGATCCAAAAAAATTTATTTTGTCAAATAGCAGTAACCGGCTATTCTATTTGTTTGGCTTCAGTTGTTTTGCTGAGAACAATGAAAATTTTCGAACTGTTATGAGATGAGCTTTGATTCATTGTATTTGGTTTTACACCGGAGCTGAAATAATTAGGCTAGTTTTTTTTTACGAATTTATCATGAACCAACATTAGTCTGATTCATTTTTTGTGAGTGAGATAAAAACATGTAGACGCCGGTTAAAACACGAGTTTTATTTATGGCTCAAAACTATTGATTAATTTCTTATTGATCTTTGATCAGAAAATGATGAAGTTTTTAGATCAGCTTTGGCATTTTATTATTCTTAAGTTAGAAAAAATATCACTTTCGATTGAAAATGATAAAAAAAAATTTAAACACATTTTGTGGAATTCAGAGAAATTTGGCATTGAAAGTGATACATCAAAGAAGACTTAAGCCAAATTTTTGAATGATTGATTGCTATCTTTTTAAAAAAAGTTTGATGTTTCAACCAACTTAAATCTTCAAATTTTTTTCTTTTTTGACAACCGCCAAAAAACAGGTTGTTTTGTTTTAATATCAAAACATCTCCAGACGCCGTTTTTTGCCGCAAAACGCTTGCATCAGCTTGGTAAACGCTTGGAAAAACAACAAAAAATTCTGATTTTTTTCTGAGATATGTGCCCAATACTTGAAAATTACCACTCCTTACACAACTTTCTTGAGCGAATTAGCAGTTTTGCAGAAATTTAGCGAATTAGCAGAAATTTTTTAAAAATAAACATCGCGTTGCCAAGAAGATCGTCAACTGAGTCGGTTGATCTTGTACTTATAATCATTCACATTCTGTAGATGTCAAGTTCTCGAAAGATGTGAAATTGAAATGGTTCTTCGGCTTTAACCTATACCGTTCTATTCTATACCAGGGTCGAAGTGCTCACTTTATGTTTCGATCACCTAGCCGTCTCGGTCAAAATTGTTTCGACCGTCTCGACCAAGTTCGAGTATGTTTCAACTTTGTCGTCCAAAAATAACTGAGTTCGACCGTTCTTAACCTGTGCAAGTTTTGTTTCGACCGTCTCGACCAACAAAAATTGTGCCCGACCCAGTCGACATATGTTTCGACTGTCTCCATTGAATTCAGGCGTGTTTTGATTTTCAACTAACATGGAAATTCCGAATTTAAAACAAATAATTAAAGCTGTTTCAATCAACGAAAAATTTGAATTATTGGCTATTAAAATTTTGCAGAAGAAAAAAATTTTTTTTTAGATTACAAACTGAAACAATTTCGACCATTCACGAGATATGTTTTGACCGTGGTTGACTAAATTTTGTTATGCTTCCACCGTACTGGACTAAAATTGAATATGTTTCGACCGTCCTCGAGTTTTGCTTTGTCGGTACTTGAGGCATTTTTGACCGTGTTCCACCAAACATTGATATGTTTTGACTGTGCTCGCGGCATGCTACGAGTTTGTATGTTTAACGTATGCTTCGACCCAAAATCATGTCTCGACAATATATTAATTGTCAAGCAGTGACATTGGGATCAATTTTGACATACAAAAAAATCTGGTAAGCCCCTCAACCTGAGTGATAATATGCAGTTCTACAATTCTAAGATGCTTTTTTTTGTTCAAAAAGTAAAAAAAGTCAATTTTGAATTTAAAAAAATTAAAAAATTTGAAATGATTTAAACACCTTTTGTAGAAGGCAGCGGAATTTGAACTGTAAAAAACTTAAATTTAACGCTAAAAAGAGACTTAGAATGAAGATTTTGGATAAATTTTTGGAAGGTTGTTGGGAATGATTTTGATTAAAAGTGCCGTTTTTCAAAAACATTGTGCTGCTGTTTTGTCTATCTTAAAGATTTCGCAGTCAAAATTCAATTTTTTTCTTTTTTTTTCAGTACCGTCAAAAAGTAGAATTTTTCGTTTTCAATCCACACTATCTCCTGCTGCCATTTGTACCAGGAAAAATCTTTTAACAGTAAAAAAGATGACTGATTTGGAGAATTTTGAAAATGAATTTTTCGAAAAAGTTGCACATTTTTTGAAAATGACTAGTCTTTAAGCAAACCAAATGAGCGATTAAGTAGCAACTATCGCAATATTTAAGAGCCTCATGAAAAATAGCTTGATATACGCATCCTGTTGCTACGAAGACTATCAACGTAGTCGGCTAATCTTATCCTTAAATTAACTGATCTTCTGTCAAGTTCTCGAAGTTTGTGGTGTTGCAAATGCTCCTCGCTTTCAGCCTCTTCCAATCTGTTTATGAACCTGGTAGACTTGCCCACTTTATGCTTCAATTACTCTACCGCCACGACCAAAATTTGGTATTTTTTGACCGTCTGGTCTAAGATTGATGACCAAAAATCATTGTGCTCGACCGTGTCCAACCTGTGCAAGATATGCCAAAAAATGTGCTCTATCCAAATGAGATATGTTTTGACTGTACCGGCAGAATTTGGGCATGTTTCGACTTTCAATTAATATGAAATTTTTGAAATTAAATTTTTAAATACTCTTTTCTGGATAATAATGTGGAATAATTTTTTTTCTATCAGATTGAAAATATTAACATTATGGCCGTCCTTTGTTTCGGCCGTAATAATATGTTTCTGCCGTCCTCGAGATATTTTTTAACCGTACTTCAGGTATATTTTGACCGTGCTCGATGTATGTTTCAACGGTGCTCGAGATGTGTTTCGAACGTGATTGACCAAACGACTGTCCTCGCGTCATGCTACGAGTTTTTATGTTTAACGTACGATTCGACTCAAATTCATGTCTCGACCATTATTTTTTGGTCGAGCAGTGACATTAAGCTCGGTTTTGAAAGACAAAAATCTGGTGAGCCTCTCAATCTAAGTGATACTATGCAGTTCAACTATTTAGGAGATGCACCTCTAAGATGTGTTTTCCCTTGCGATAACAATAGTTCTTCTTCTTTGTTCAGTCGGCGAGATAATGATTGCTTTGTGAAACATTCCACATCGAGCCTAGAAACCCGCTACGACATAGGCTCTTTAGTTGCAGAGGAATAGTCGCAAAAATTCAAAACCGAGACTCTTTTCCCGTAAACATTTTTTCTCATAAAACAATTTTTAACTATGAAAAAGAAGAAACTTCAAAAATTTGTAAGACCGGGGAATTTTCCTAAAAATCTTTTAAGAAATTCTAAGACCGGGAATTTGTTTGTAGGAAGGTCAAACCGGGCATTTGTGGAATACCTTCGATGATTAGTTTTTCTTCGCAAGAAGATTTATTTTGGAAGTATTTGACGAGGTTTAAAGAATTTTTGAAATCTGACCTTGAATTTATTGATAAAGTGCTTAGTGATTATTTACAAAATATATTATGAAAAGCAGTCTACTAGATTTCAACGGCACAAATAGGATATCTGTTGGTTGCTTCTGTTTGAACTTCAATCAGAAGGTGGGGCTGCTCTAGGAGGAATTCCCTGCATTGAGTTGTTCTAGAATATAAAACATCAAAAGTTGTTGGGAAAACTTTGGATAATGAACTGTACCTCGAAGTGTTTTCAATCATTTTCAAAGTTTCATTGTTTTTGCTTCATTAAGCAAAAACTCAACAAAACGAAATCCCTTAATTTTGGTGACAGTGTTTTTTGAGAAAGTTACGTTTTTGAAATAGTTGCTTTTTTCCAACGAAATGAGTGCAAGTTAGAAATTGAGACGATCAAAATGACAAATGAAATGACGGAAATATATTTCAAAAATTGACAATACCTGCTAAGGTGAAAACTAGAAAAAACAGGATACTCTTAGTCTGATGGTAGGCTGGGTTTAACAGTGTTAAACCCTTATTTAAGAGGAGCCTGGATGTTACCATGGAAACAGTCATTTTGAGTCGACTGTTCTCGTCCTTGAGTGCGTTGACCTTCTGCTGCAGATGTCTCAGCAGTTGCAGGGAGGCAGTGCTGCTGCTGTCCTCACTCCCCCCACTGCCCCCCATGACCCCCACCCGCCCCCCACTCTTGTGCTGTGACTCAGTGGCGGCCACTAGTCTCTTGTGCTCCCTCTCCAGCTCTGCGTAGTGTCTCCTTGGGATGTAGTTGTCAGACTTCAGCCTGCTCTCTACCATACTGTTCACCTGGCAAAAAACAGTCGCAATCAATCTTACAGTCACCAATTATGCAGTAGGTAAAGCAATAGCTATATAATGCATCTAGAAAAGATTGCATCGAGAAACAATTTGTGACACTATTCGAGACACGCAAAAACTTTCTATGTGAACAAATTTCGAGATGCAATGTGAGCTGCTGCTAATCTCGTATGAGACTCATGTAAAAAAATTGATAAAAACACGCTGATTGTTCTAGGAAAGATATTGCACTAGTGTTTCAAACAGGGGCGGAACCGGGATTTTCTCGAGGTGATGGGGGCGGATTTTAAAAAAACTTTCAAAATGTTGTCGATCTTTTTTAGGTCGAACAAATTGATTTTGCGAGCTCTCCCAGAGCACTGAAAAGACCCTGTTTTGGTCCAATTTTCTGCGCCGCAGCCAAAATTTTGAAAAAAAGAGCGAAAAAAGCGTTTTTAAGCACTTAACGGAAAAAAACTTTGACCAAAAAATTGCGTTTTTTTGGCGCGCACCTTCCTTAAAATTATTAAATACAGGTGTCAAAGGCGCCTTTAAATAAATTAGGGTCAGCAGGGGTTCAGCAGTGGGTCGAATCCCTGAGGGAAGGGGGGTTGGAGTGGACGTCTGCCCCCTTAAATCCGCCCCTGTGAATTCAAATTTTGCACTGGCTTTTCAAGTTTTGCTGCGCTCGTTTTTCAAATATGGCACGGAAAAATACTAAAATTGTGTGTTTTATTGGCAGATGTCAACAATTTTACAAGTCTGAATTAACCAACCAAAAGTATGTTATGTTTGTCGACTCCATAACTCTTAACATCCTTTTTTATCGGCTGTTTTATATACTATAAAACTAACATCTATATGGTTCTTCACAACAAGCCAGTTACTCAAACGTTTTTTCACCAGAGGAAAATAACACAATCAAATACTGGTTTTATTTATATCTGTATGTACTATTGTATCATATTAACTTAAGTTTTTGGCGTATCGTTTTTAAAAATATTGTCGATTTTTAAAATTATTGTCGCAAAACAAATTTTAAAAATATTGCCGATTTTTTTTATGTGAAATTTCGATGAACACTATAGTTGTAGCAACTGAAACATGGCTCAAAAACAAAACAGTAGGAAAAACTTATTTAAGCTCAAGGCCTAATTTTGTTCATCTTCCACGCTCCAAATGGACAAGTCTAAAAAGGGGGGAGGTGTTGGAATTTAAACTGCTTTATCATTCGAAATGCATATTCGCAAAGATCTCATGACTGCTGACAGAAAGTTTTTTGAGTCATTATGGGTTGAAATTGAGTCATCAAGCATGCAAAAAACTTTGGCTAAGGTTTGGCATCGCTCAAGAAAAAACTGTTCTCCGGACTTTTTCGACGACTAAAGTGGTAAAACTTCTCAAGCATTTGCCTCAAAGATGAAAATTTCTCTAATTGGGCGACTACAGTATAGATCTTTTAAAACAAGACGAGTCATCAAAACTTTACGACTTAGCTGCAAATTGTGGTTTAACTAAACTAAACGTCACCAAATCATTGCTAGTAACAGATAACAATATCTCACTTACGGACCATTGCTTAGTTTCCAACAGCCAAATATATTATGTAAGTTCGTACGTATTGCCATTCAACAGACACCACTCTATGCTTACTTACGAAACATAAATTTCTTTGTAGCCCAAAAATGACATAATTGAAAATCAGACAAGAGACTTTCATAATTTTAATCGGGGAAATTCAATTTAGACCTTGCGCTTTTTGATTGGTCAGAAAGGTATACAAAAATCTTCGGGATCGGAAATTTTTGAGATTTTTGAACTTATTGTTGAAACAATTATAAGTGCGCATGCTCCATATCGCACAAAACGATAAATCAAAAACTGGTAACTAAAATCAAAACACCATGATTTGATAAATCCCTGACGACTCTGATAAACAATAAACTGGTAACTAAAATCAAAACACCATGATTTGATAAATCCCTGACGACTCTGATAAACAATACACCCAAAAACAAAATCACAAATTCCAAATGCAGTATTTGGTTTTTTCCTTGCGTCACAAGAAAAAAAATTTACCAAGAAATCGATAAATTATTGTTGAATGAATTTAGGAAAACAAGCTTTTGGGAAACCAGATTTTACAAGGTAAACTTGCTAGCGGAACACTCATCGAATTCGCAATAATTGAAAGTATAATATACAACAGTTTCCATCATTCCTCAAAAAAGCATATATCACACCTGTCTTTAAAAAAAGATAAAACACAGGTTGCATCAACTAATAGGCCTATCTGTAAGACAAACACGCCTACAAAAATTTTTGAACGCTTGCTTTCGAACCAAATGTTGGAATACTTTAAACAAATTTCGTTATTAAACGTCTACCAATTCGGATATCAGGAAAACAATTTTGTGACTGATGCAGTTATCACTTTCAGCTAAATGGTTTGTGAAAACTTGGATCAATAAAAAAACAAGTGCACTTCTTCTAGATCTTGCTAAAGCTTTCATTCCCTTTCTCATGAAATCTACATGGGCAAAATTAAAATGATTTTTCCAAAAATGCATCAAATCTCCTAAACGTTTTTTAAATAGACCGTCAACAATGTGAAGTCATTATTCTGACTGGATAACACTTAATTATGGCGTTCCACAAAGTACTGTATTGGGACCATTTGTTTTCATTCTTTATGTAAAAGATTTCAAAAATCAAATCAACAGGAACCTGAGTTTTGTTCAATTTGCAGATGAGACAACTATCCTATTTACAGAAACGCAATTAAGGATCTAAAAACCTCATTGCTCAAAACACTAGAAAAAGTACAAGAATATTTAAATGAAAACAAATTGTCCTCAGTGGTGATAAAACGGAACTTTTTTTCTTCGGGAAGAGTACAATTTAGAAAAATTTATATATAGAGAAGAAACAGTACCCGCAAAGGAACATGCCAGGTATCTTGACCTTTTAGTGGACAAAAATCTTACTTTTTCAGCTGACTTGAATAAAATTTTAAGCAAAATGGCTGTTGTTGTTAATTCAATATACTGCGTTCGACAGTGGTACCATTAGAAACAAGAAGTTTGCTTTTCAGATCACTAGTTTTGTCACATTTTGTCACAAACGGTACCCATGTCTCAATTTTACAGAATAAACAGCCAAATTAAATGAGGAACCAAAGTTTGCTATCTCCGCAGAAAATATGATCATGCACGAGATCTACTTCTCAAGTCTAAGGTCTTACCAGCCGAAATTTTCATTACCCAGCATAGCTTGACTAGAATGTTCGATGTGGTGAAAATTGTTAAGACAGTTGAAATTGGTGAGCAGTTCATCTATAACAGAGTACCTGTGAAACTAAACGGACGCACAAAAAAAAACAAAATAAAACAGATTCCTAAAAACAAATTGGGAAAGAAATCTGTAATAAACAAAAGCTGTAATAAACGGAACAATTTAAACGTAACAATGAAAAAAGTTAAAGCTTAACAAAAATTTCAATTTTAATTTAAAATTTTTTTAATAGAGATACACGAAAAAATTCCTATTTACAGGTTGATTAGTTCTTTTCGAGATTATTTTTATATCCAAAATTAGCATTAGACTAATAATAATATTCATTTTCATTTATACAAGTTGTATTTGTATATTTACACGCCGGTTTTGTTGTTTTTTAAATTATTATGATAATTCCATTTTGTAACAGCATGTATGTTTAACCAAGCGGTTATTTTGAATTTACTTGTTTGCGGGAGAAAAAACCAAAAAAAAAAAGAAGAATATGCAGACCAAACGCCTTCCATTTATATATAAAAAAATCTGTTCTAGATGATCAAACACCTGCAATATCTTACACCTGCAGTAATTGCGCCTGCAATAATTTCTCCTACAAAATCATAATTATGCCATCATAATGATACTGCAGGCTTAAGATATTGCAGGCGTGTGATCATCTGAAACCGATTTTTTTTTACAAAAATGGAATGTGGTCTGCATATTTTCAATTGGTTTGTTTTGAAGAAACATATAGATGCTAGTTTGATGGTATACAAACCAGCCGAAAAGAAAACAGATTTTAAGAGTTACGGAGTCAACAAACATAACCTACTTTTGGATGGTTTATTCACACTTGTAAAGTTGTTAACATCTGCCAATAACAACGTGTTCAATATTTTTCCGTGCCATATTTGAAAAACTAGTGCAACAAAATTTGAAACATTAGTGCAATATTTGAAACCAGGGGCGGATATAAGGGGGGGGGGGGCATCATAATTACGCCTTTTTCATCATAATTACGCATGCTGTATCTGTGACTCCTCCTTGTGTAGTCCTAATTGTTTAGTAAGCTAAAATATGGAGACGAGATCTTTCCTCGCAGAGCCTCTATGAAAAATGACTTTGAAATTGTTTTTCAATGCTGTTTCAAATTATGATGGCTGATAGTTTTATTAACTAGTTACAATTAATTACCTTGATTATATAATCGTAAGCATCAACTTATTTGTATAATCGTGCTTGCTTGTATTATGGTTAAAGACTGACGTTTGGCAATTTAGCGTCAAGTATCTAAATTGCGAAAACTTGAAAACAGTTTGTCTCGTTATTGAAAAAAAAGTTTGATAAACTATCGTTTTCCCAATCACTGACTGGTATTAGAATAATAGAAAAATAGCCCTGCTGCGGATTCCAGGACCAAGATTTGTCCAGCCTTGTCGCGGAATCCGCCTGCAGTTCAAAAATGTACGCATTTTGGCCTTGTAAGGAATTTGCAGAGTCAAAACAAGGAACGATGATTTGCAGAAGATGCTGTTGACTTCAGAGGAAGCTCAAGTGATAAGGTATAGTGAGGTGAACAAGTGATGGAAGAAAGCAGAGAGAAGGGAGGAGTCGTTGAAACAAAAGGGGAGTGCTTTGAAACAAATCAATCAAACCAATTCAGATTAGAAATGTGCTCAAATTACCTCATAGTCCTGAATCTATAGAAGAATTTTACGCAAATTAAGCGAGGGGTATTGGTTAATTGTTGAAATGAGGGGAGTTCGAGGCGTTTCTTACCTCCTTTTCGAACTGCTTGGCCAATTTCTCAGCTGTGTCCCGTTTGAACTTAGACATCTCCGATCTCAAGTCAGAGTTCTCCTTTTTCAACTCCCTCAACTCATCGTGCAGATCCTGCTCCATCATGTCTTCCTGTGAATTTTGATTTCTCTTTTATGTATACTGATACTATTCAAAAAGCATGGCGACATGAAGGACTCCTGATCATTCAACTGTTTATCATATGTGTAACCAATTTAGATTGAATAACCGGACAGCAATGATCATATGCTAAGTGGCTGATGTAACAGAAAAACGGCAATTCAGTTATGTTTCTCTTTTCTCACCTGCATCTTACTGATTTCTTCCATGTGGGCCAAATTCAGCTTCTCTCTCAAGTCTTCTATCTTCCTCTGGTGCTCTGCATTCAGCTCCTCCCTCACACTCCTTATGTACATCTCCGTCTTCTCCTTGGTCTGCTGCGACTAACACCAGTTGAACGGAGGTAAACTACTTGTCGCATGTTACGAGTGCTATTTTGAAAAACGCTGCCGGATATTGAAACCTTATGCAAAAAAGGAACACTTTTTTAGCACTGAGACTAATAAAAGAACAATGGAATTTTTGCTCTCATGAGAAATCATTCTTCTCATGGTAAATCAGGGGTTGTACAATTTTCTTGATGGGGGGGGGGGGGGGGGGAGAGGAGGATTTTCAAAAACGAAAAAAGTTGAAAAAGCTATAATGAACTCCGCGTGAAAACAAAATACCTTCAGTTTCGCGCCATCAGCTTCCTCTCTTAGTTCGAACACGTAAGTTTGCAGTTCACTCACGCATGCCTTCAGATTAATAACCGCCTCTGTAGTACTGTTTATAACTGCGCTCGTCGGGTTAGTACTCGAATCACTGTTCGCCTCTCTACCTGTTCGCTTCTTCTTGATTCGGTTGTAATTCACATTTATCATTTTGCAGATGCGTCGACACTCCTCGTTGATTTCCAGAAGAATAGCTTTCTCGTGTTGTACAACTCGGGTTTCTAAGTCGTGATAACGAGTCGTGGCATTGTGGTTCTCGACTTTCGTTAGCTCTAGTTGATCCTGAATAAGCCTAATTTGCTCCTGAAGCTCAAAAACTTTGTCATTGTATTCTTTTTCCATCTTTTCCTTCTGAGTTCTTATCTCGTTTGAGTGTTCGCGTAAAGCACTTTCTCGGGCTACCAAATTAGCGTCGGTCGCTTCTTTGTACAAGTTTCGGTTCTCCGCTCTAAGAGTCTCTATCTCGCTTTTAAGGTCGGCAACTTGACCATGCGACTGACTTAGCAGCTTTTTCTCGTAATCTATCGCATCTTGAAGACGTCTAGTAGTTCGCGCGAGTTCATCGTCGAAATTATCACGCTCTCGTTTCACCAAAAAGGATTTCTCGGATTCGAAGTTTGTTCTCTCTTGGACAACGGCCGCTCTCACCTGTTCTTGTGCCTCTAGTCGCAACCTTTCGCCGAGCTCTCTTGTCGCTTCAGACTGCACATTCAACTTTTCTTTCCAGTGTTCGATTTCGTTCGATTTCTGCTTTCTGATACTCTCCATTTCTTCTCGCAACTCCTCCAGTGTGCTCTGATGCTTCTTGTTCAGTTCATTTATCCTACTGTTTAGTTCGTCGACAGCAGCGTTTTTGTCTCGTGTCATGTTGATCTCCATAGTCTCGACTGTTTCCACATGTGACTGTTCCATTCTCTGCAGCTCGAATTGCAGTTGTTCGTTTATTCTTTTCAACTCGGCTATTTCAGAATCCCTCTCGGAAATAACGTTTTCACACTCAATGAGTTTCTCGTTTTGGTCATTTGAGTTTTGCTTTAATCTTTCGTGATCATCGGCTAACTGTCCGAGTGTAGTTTTAGTGTCACTGAGTTCGTTTTTGACAAAATTGTTAATTTCGTTCACTTTCTTAACTTTCTCGGCGTAGTCTCCGTCTAGCTGTTCCAGTCGTGAAATAAGTTCTCGGTTCGTTTCGTCGTACTGTCTCAACTTCTTCTCAGCTTCCTTCAACTCTAAATTCATCTCGTGGTTCTTCATTCGGCTCTCTGTTGTCTCGTTTCTCAGTTGTTCACGAAGATCCTCCAACTGTCGTTGCAACTCGTATCGCTCGTACTGTGTGATCTCTCCTCGCTGCATGTTTTCCTTCAGCAAAGTGTTTTCCTCAATCAGTTGTGAAATCTGTCGTGTGTTCAGTTCCAACTGGTTGTTCCAACTAGACTTGCTGTCTTCCACTTGTCGCTTCAGCTGCTCTAGTTCTCTCTCCGCCTGAGTTTTCTGCTCACATGTCATTTCTAACGCATGTTGTTCCTTCTTCATCGCCACGTTTTGGCTCCTGATTTCAGCCTCATTTTCCGAAATTTCTTGTTTTAATTCTTTCTTTTTCTGCTGAAGCTCAAGTATTTCGCGATTCGCTGCCTGTTTTTTGCTCAGGACAGATTGTACCTCAAGGTCCAAATCTTTCAGCTTCGCCATGCTTCGTTCGGTTTCTTTCAAAATGACATCATTTGTCGAGTTGTTTGGTTGAGAACTGAAGGCTCTGGTTGGTGGCTTAGGTTTTGTGCTGAAGTTCCGAGGAGTGCTCGAAATACTACTGCTAGAGCTGTGTCGCCGCTCACGAGTTCTCATGTTTCGACCAATAGGATTGAAGCTGTTTTTGGTCGACTCCATTTCGAATTTAATCCGAGCAGCTTCGGCTTTTATGTATTCCATTTCCTGTTCAGTCGCAGAGCCTATTTCGGAAAGTTCGTAGTTTTTCGGCACGAACTCCGAAAACCGAGACGTCGACCTGTCATTTTTTCGGTAATTTGATTTTTCTACCGGTTGGCTGTTGCTTCTGCCGTTGAAAGTTTGAATCTTTTTCAAGGGTCGTGACCGTTGGAATTGGTTTGAGTCGAGCTTGATTGACTGAGAGCTAAGCGAATCAAAACTCTGCCATTTGTCCATTCTATTCGGTTTATTCGCCATGTACGCTAATAAAGACGGTGGCTCTTTGAACGACATAGCGAAAGAGTTCGTCGAGTTGGTGCCTACAGAAAGTTTTTCCCCGAACCAGTTTGACATTCCGAAGTCAGTATTGGCTGGCTGGCCTATGATCGAAGATTTTGCTTTTCCCAGTGATCGAGAGTTGTTTACACGATGGGGCGCTCGTCCTCTTTTAGTCAAGAGTTTGGAGGTTTCGTTTTCAGAAGACCCTGCTAGCTTTCCGAATGCCATAGCGGGTTCATGTTGTTCTCTAGTGTGGAACTTGGAACTGTGATCGTTGGAATTGAAGTTGAAGTTGTTTCTCAGAGCATCTAATTTGGACCCCATGTGGCGAGATATCACACTATCTACTTCAGATTCGCCTGAAAACAGCACAGAAGCATTTGGAGAAACCTCGTATTAGTCATAACAGATTCAGTTAAGTACACACGGCCAAAGCGAATTTCACTCACGCCCAGGCGCGGGTTTAGGGTGGCATGCTGACGCCCCACTTCCTCAGGGATTCGACCTCTTAACAACCAAAACGTCCCCCCTTTGGTATTATTCTATGACATGAATTTTTGGCGAACCAACCCTATGATTTTCTAAAGGCGTCTTCGACGCCAATGTATACTAATTTTGCGGGCGAGCGCGATATTTCAGTCACAAAAATGGTATTCTTGACCTGATTTTTTAAAATTCTCTTGCGGCGCAATTTTTTTTATCAAAATAGGGTTTTTGTTGTATCCTGGGAGCTCTCGGAAATTCAATTTGGTCGAACTAAAAAAGAGCCACCCAAAGAGCCACGAGAAAATCCTTGAAGTGCCCCTGCTCACGCCACATATTTGTTCCCTAAATGAAAATTACAGTCATGAATTTTTTTGTTGTTTTTGTATCTTCATTTCTGATTTTATGTAGGCAAAAATTATTAAAATTTGGGCCATTAAACTGAAAAAAAACTAATAAAAGTGGGAGTTCTTAATACTTGATCAATTATATACTTCAATTTTTTTCATCCTCTGTTTTAGAGACAGCTGAAAAGATTCATTCAAAAAAACTTGATAGAAAGTTCTATGAGTGAAAGCCAGCCCGATCAGGAAACACCATCCGCAAGTTTTTCGGACCGCGAATGACCAAGAAATATTTTGCTCACAAATGGGAATCATGACCCCGTGAGCATCAATAACAAAAGACTATTTGATTTTCAAGCACACGGGAGACCTAAAATTATAGAACCGATTAACAAACTATCATAACAGAAGTATTCGGGTGCAAAAATAGCATGAAAAAAATGCAAAACCTCATTTTTCCGCCTAAAATCATGGGGAAAACAATGCAAAATTTTCCTCGTCAATTTCAAAAACTTGTATTGAAAATGTGCATTGAAATAGCATATTGGTAAAAGTTATGTTAGAAAGGATAAGGAACGGTAGCGAATCAAAGCAGGTTTCACCTCCATTGATGCGCCTCCTTATCCTGTCCCCAACATCCTCTTTGAACATGCTGCCCCCACTCTGCTTAGGGTGCTTCACATCCTCATCTAACTTGATCCGGGGAACGTCCAATCTAGGAGTGCTGTCTGGAGACTCACGCGTCTGGAACCTCTTCTCGATCAAACTTCGAAGCAGCTCCTCCGCCTCCAGAGATTTGTCCAGATTGTTCAGACGCCCCAATGCAGACTTGGATCTCTTAGATCTAGGCTTGAGAGGGAACCTGCATATGAAAAAGAAGCTAATTACATCGTTAATTTATTATGCAATCTATACATTATTCGCTTGCAACATGCATGAGATTATCAAAAATTAAAGCGTTTTTATGCCACAAATGTTCAGATTTTACCATGTAAATATCATCAGCGATCACAAATGAAACTTGATTTCGTAGATTGTAACACCCCCCCCCCCCCCATATGATTTATCATTTATCAGCCGTGAACAGAGTAGCGTGCCAAAGAAGATAAGGGGTTGGGGGTACTCGTAATTTCGCCACACCCATTGCGCGCCAAAAAATTGAGCGGTCTATTTCTCCGATAAAGTGCTCAAAATGCTATTTTTTGCGAAATAGAGCCAATCTAGGAACTTGGCGTAGCCTAGAAAATCTCGAATCCCTTTTCTAAAAATGCTCGATATTATGATATAAAAACGGCTCTCATAAAAAAATTCTTGCAAATGCCTTTGAGTTGAAAGTTATGGCCATCATTATCTCTCATTTTTGATATTACACCACAGTGACGACCTAGTTTTGATTGAACATTCTGTATATGGTGAAAAATTTAAGCTTATTATCTACAATGACACCTAGGTATTTGCAAAAAGGTTTCGGCTGAAAAGTAAAATCAAGTATATCAATCTTTCTTTTGATATACTTGATTTTACTTTTCAGCCGAAACCTTTTTGCAAATACCTAGGTGTCATTGTAGATGATAAGCTTAAATTTTTTCACCATATACAGAATGTTCAATCAAAACTAGGTCGTCACTGTGGTGTAATATCAAAAACGAGACATTATGTACCAAGATTCATCCTACTGAAACACTATACTATATGTCGAATATCAAGCCAATAATACAATATGGCTTGCTCGTCTACGGCGGCACGAGTTTTTCTTTTTAAACCCAATTTTGAATATGCAACAAAAAATAGTTCGCATGATCTGCTTCAAAAGGAAATTTGATACCGTTACTAAGTTCTTTTCTGATAACAAAATACAAACAGTTCATGAGCTATATGTGTACGATTTGATGAAGTTTTGTTTACGATCACTAGATCAAAAACATCCAACTTGTTTTCTCAAATCTTAATTTACTTTTAAAAATTTTGCCTATAATAAGCGAATTTCAGAAGGTCGAATATTTGTTCCACCATTCTGTAAGAATATGGTAAAATCACGTTTTTTGACTAATAGGGGTTCAAAGTTAATGAATATTATGAGTATAAATAAGCTTTTACCTGAAAATGTTGGATTGATGTCAAAAAAATGAAGAATACAGTTTCGTCCATAAACTTCAAGATAATTTCATATGTGGAAATTACGAGTTGGTGCAAAACATATTTCTTTGAGTTTTTATTTTTTTTAAAATGGTACCCGCTGGCTAAATGCTATCAAACAATCGTTCTAGGGTTGCGGTTCTATGCTGAAAATATGAGCCTCCAAATCCTTGTAGTTTTCGAGATATCGCATTTTTTAGAAAATTTAGAAAAAAAAACTTAGAATTTTTTTTCATATTATTTCTCATATTCTTAGTTTGTCAGCTGGAATGAGAACAGGCCGAAATGACAGGACTAGATGTAATAACTATTCCTTAATGAGTGCTTAATTTAAGGGGAAAATAATTTTTTCCCCACAATCCTATTTTTATTCGAATACAAATTTATCTTATTACTTAGTTGCAATCCTAATTTGTTTAACGGGTAGACGTCAAGTAGGCACAAACTGCGCCTTTTGTCTATCCCCTCCATTTTGTTGATTTAATAATTTAAATAAAATGATGCTTGTATTATCAACTATATGGAGAACTAAATTCTTCTTCTTCTTCTTCTTCTTCTTCTTCATCATTATGGCCACCAAAAAGCAGCAGCTAAACAAGATTTGAAATTAATGGTCTAAATGATGGTGTAAAATATGTGGTTTATGGCCTTTTTGGTATTTTCGTAAAAAATCTTTGGGCTCCTACACTTACTTTTCTGTGTCGACAATAGAAGACAGAACTGTGTCGTTGAAAGTGGCCACGTCTTTCTCTGTGGACAGACAGTCTTCCACATAACTGACAGAGTCCACAGTCTCAAGGTCATGATGTCCAGCACCGCTGCTGTTCCTCGCCATCCACGACTTAACCTCATGTCTCTTGCTATTCTTACCACCACGAGATCCGAAGTCAGAGTTGAAGTTGAGCTGGCTCATTTCGTGGTCTATTTTGTCCAGAATCTTGTTGGTCAAATCTAGAGTCTCATCCGCCAAATGACTGCCAGTGCTGTCTAATTTAGACCCAAAATCCATGCTATTAAAAACTCCCGCCAGCAAAAAGCAGCAGCTAAACAAGATTTGAATTTAATGGTCTAAATGATGGTCTAAATTATTATAAAATGCATTCTGCTCAAGTAGTACACTATGGCTTATAACTTCAGTTGGTTTAGTTTAAAAGTCTACTTGTTAAAAAGCAATTTTTCTTAAGTGTAGAAGACAAATAAATTGCATTCTTTGCTCCGTAATCGCGTTTTAATCAAATCACTGGTAGAGAAACATTGAATTTATTAAATATGAGTGTACGATTGAGACTCCTGGTACGCTTTGAATGTTTAATCACATTTTTACACGTTCATAATATGCATCGGAGTTTTTTGATGGATGTGCTCTTTAGATAGTCCAATACAAGTCCAAATTAAAGAGAACTGCTTTACCGTAGTATTCGTGTGTTCTGTTTTCTGATTAGCAGACGAATTTATGACGAAAATAATGGTGCTCCAAAACAGTTTTCATGCGAGGACACGCATCCACGAAAAGTGACGGTCTTCGGATCTTGAAAGGTACTAAATAACTCCTTTTTTAGCGTAGAAAAAACCGAAGTAGCATTGTTTTATTAGAATTTTGGCGCGAAGGTCCGATGCAGGGGCGGATTTAGGGAAGGAAGCGGGGGGGGGGGGGGCGGACGCCCCCCCCCCCCTCAGGGATTCGACCCCCTGCCGACCCAAAGGGTCCCCCCTTCGATACTTTTTCAGAAATCCATTTTTGGCCGACCGACCCTAAAATTTTTCTAAAGGCGCCTTTGGCGCCAATATATACTAACTTTGAGGGGGAGCGCGCGCCAAAAAAACGCGTTTTTTTTGTCAAAATTTTCCAAAAAGTGCCCAAAAACGGCTTTTTTGACTGTTTCTTCAGAAATTTGCCTGCGGCGCAGAGAATTTAGCCAAAATGGGGGCAAAGGTCGACAAAATTTTCGAATTTTTTTTTGAAAATCCGCCCCCCCCCCCCTCGAGAAAATCCTAGATCCGCCCCTGGTCCGATGCATCAAATTTTCGCAAAGTTTCTACCCTTAACTTTAAAATTGTTTATTCAATATAATCACATACATCATACTTTTTCTGCTTGCGCTTAAAGGCCTCAAGCAATGCAGAATAATCTAATGTTTTTAAATCATCCAAGTCTTACCAAACCGCGTCAACCCCATTGTCATGTTATTACTGCTCCAAAGACCTTAAAAGGCAGTCGGAACATTCGGGGCTTCGCCCTGTGATACGAGCACTCTTGTTCAAAGTTCGAATCAAACGTTTTTCTAAAACTGAAGTTTATATCGATCATCCAATATCGATAAACACTACTGATTTAACCTGCTTCTTGCTTTTGCCATCACAGTTGTTCTTAAATATAATCTTAGGATATAAAATTAGGTTTAAACTTCTTTCTTTTTTTTACGGCAAAGTAGACGTGAAAATATTCAGAAAGACTCAGATGAGACCTCGTGTCTTGGGAGTAATTAAAATTGAAAACTGCAAGTCATGAAAAGAAAATTTAATATTTCCGAAAATGAAACATAAAAAATGAATAGCAACAAATTGAGTCAATAGTGAGCTTCAAAAAATTTCAATAAAACTTATCCAACATTTCGATTGATTAAAAAATAGTTCTGAAATTATCTCAAAAAAATGTTTAGAAATCATATCAACGGAAAAATTCGTTTTCGTATGTCATTATTATGAAGAAAATAAGTTTAGTCGGAATGCGTTTTCGAAATCCTATCGTTGACGACGACTATAGGAATACTGACACCCAATCTGTTAGCTATTTAGCTATAAAATGTACTAAAATCAGTTCAATTGATACGAATTATTGTACAGAATTTCAAGATTTCAAGAGCCTGTTTTAACTTTGAAGAAACAAGAGAACCATAAGCAGACTTTTTGTGGCAATGCTGGCTTCAGAGATCAAATAAAGGAAGATTTTTCAAACCATACAATTTTTAAGCAAATTTTGTTTGTTTTCAGAAAATGATTTTGTGCATTATTGTTTGTTGCAGAGAGGCCTTAATCAAGAAGATATTTGAAAGCTGTCGCTTAACCCAGGGGCGGATTTAGGGGAGGGGGGAGTCCCTTGGTACTATCTTGAGATATTCATTTTTCGCTCACTGACCCTAAAATTTTTTTAAAAAAAGGCTTTGGCGCCAAAATATAATAATGTTAATAAAATTTCCAAAAGGTGCCTAAAAATGCATTTTTGGCCGGTTTTTTCAAATGTATGCCTGCGGCGCAAAAAAATTGACCAAAACAGGGTCTTGATAGTTTTCTCGATCTTTTTTTAGGTCGATTAAATTGATTTCCCGAGCTCTTCCAAAGCATTATAAAGACCCTGTTTTGGTCAATTTTTTTGACCAAAACAGGGTCTTTATGATGCTTTGGAAGAGCTCGGGAAATCAATTTAGTCGACCTAAAAAAAGATCGAGAAAACTTTCTTTTTTTTTAAAATCCCCCCCACCTCGAGAATATCATAGATAACCTTATGGTTGAACCTTTTGGTTAAGATGCGACGCATGAGAAAAGTGAGCTTTATTGCAAAAGTTGCCAGAGACACAAAAATTTATGAAAAAAAATGTTGGCGAAAAATGAGCCTGTATATAAGATGAAAATTGTTTGCGATGAATGCGTTCCGTCTGCAAACAGATTGGTATCAGCTAAATCGAGCGACCGAGCCACTGTAAGAGAATATTGGTTAGACGTTGGCAAGACTAGATAAACAAAAAAAAACATATGAAAGAATGGTAAGTTATTGCGCTACTAATCAGTAAAGACTAACAATACCCTAAATTAGCGTATGACCGAAAAAAAAAACATACTCCAGGAAACTACAAAGGCACGATAAATTTCAAGAAGTAGAGCGTCAAATTATGTTCAACTCGGATTTAAATATTAGTAATTGTTCATGTTTATGTATACTAATTATATGGACCAGTGGCGTGCGTAGAAAATTTTATGGGGGGGGGGGGGCGGTTTTTTCACAAAAATTTAAAATTTTTGCCGACTTTTTTCTAGGTTGACCCATTTGATTCTCCGAGCTCCCCCAAAATAGTATATGGACCCTATTATGTGAAAGTTTCTGCGACGCAGGAATTTTTTTTCAAAAATCTTACCAAAAAAGGCGTTTTTAAGCCATTTTAGGAAAAGTTTGACCAAAAAATTGCACTTTTTTTGGCGCTTGCTCCCCTTTAAAAAGTCATGCTGGCGCCAAAGGCGCGTTTAGAAAAATTATTAGGTTGATGAGCGAAAAATGGATGTCATTAAGTTAACACGCGCCCCATCTAGGCACGCTACTGATATGGACAACTCTATGTATATTAGGGGCTCAGTTCTAATAAATGATGAAGTAACCATTAGGACCTTGTATGCACAGGTACAAATTGCAAATCTTGTTAGTTTTGAGGTTTTTGAAGACCCAACAGAACTTCCAAAATTGAATGATGAATTGCGAGAAAAGAAAATTTGAACTTGACTCGATAACGTATGTGCACGATGTTGAAATAACTGGAGAACCAGTGTTTTTGCTATCCAATTTTTCAAACAAATCATGCTTTGGCCTTTTCGAAAAATTAAGGATTATCTATCAGGGCAAATTGTAAAGTCTGGGAACAAGGGTTTTTTTGTCGTGAAGGTTTCTAAGGGATCAAACCATATTGCAGGGTCTCCTTTTAAGCAAAACGAATTATCGCTCGGCGGTTTTCTCATCTTATAAAACCAGGTTTTGCTTTCCCGCAAAATTTGATCGATTAACCGCTATAAAATTAATGCAAAAAGATTTGGATAAACTTTTCACAAAGTAGTTTCTAACAAAGAAAAAATCACGGGAAAAGCATATGTGACAAAGATGATTTTACTTGGCGATCAGCAAAAGAAACCAGTAGTGTTAAATAATTTAGAAAAGATAAAAGTTGCCTCAGAGTTATCACACCAAAAAGCGGGAAGTATGTTGTACATACATCAATGCGCAAGAATACAAGTCAAACTGGCGAGCATATCCTCTTGCAGAGAAGAAGTACTGGTTGAAGTCACAAGTGTTAGTATCGAGTCGCACATAAAAATTATGACCCCAATCAGTAGAATATTAATGTATCGCACCAAATTCTCACTATATGCTTTAGAGTCTGCTATAAGGCTTTTGAATTAGATCATTGAAATGAAATTGAAGCTGATTCTCACACGCAAAACACTTAGAGCAACCGGCAAAAAATATGCAGCTTTTAGCCCCTATGACTTTGCAGGTGAAAGTTATTCAACGGATAAAACTTTGAGAGATAGCCAGTTGTTAGCACCTATGAAGCATAACATGAAGGCAATAACAGGAATAGAAAACGTCCTGGCTGGGACAAAACGAGGAATACTCTCATGATGAATTGGGTTTTTTAGAATTAAACTTTTCACCATACAACTGGTACTATTTTCTTTGGTTTCCTGAAATGGAAACACACATGCTTCGGTATTGGCGAATAGCTAGAGAAATTACAAAAAGTATGCTAACGGTTTATCTTCAAAAATGTTTTTCTCTGCAGCTTTGATGAGGGACGGGACAATCAAGGAAACTGTATTCCAGCCGTTCAGTCTTTTGGGAGAAAAAAAAGTACTAACGTGCAGGTAAAAAAGCCTTGCTTGTCACGGGAAACAAACATGCAATGCACGAGACATCGAGGCCATGCAATTAAAATTTAAAAATCAGTAGGTAAAGATCATAAGCTTAGAACGCTTGGACGATTGAAAGTTAAGATACGTTTGAGTGCAATTAGGGCATAGGAAAGAAAATGAAAACTCAGGTTTTTCTGTAAGGTTAAAAAAAGGATAAACAACTTGGTCTGTGCGATTCGGATAAAAATACTTTTAATTTTAGAAAACCGAAAAAAGCCTGTAGCCGGGAGTTTTATGCATTTTTTGCCCAAACTAATCAAATTTAAAGCAGTGGTACGGCCCAATGCATACAAGGTAGTTTCTGTTAACCACAAATACAGCACTGTTGCTCCATTGTAACAGTTGCAGCTTTGAGATGTGGTGAGTCGACCACAACTGTCCTTCAAAGAAAGGCAAAATCTCTATGATTACAATAGAGATGACGAAACATATCCTGATACTACAAGAAGCTGGAAGTAATGCTAGTACAACTCGGGAAACAGCTGAAAAAATTCACAGAGGAGATTGGCAAGTTGAGCGTTAAACTCTAACGAAAAAAGGAACGCTTGAAAAATTG